CCCACGTGCGTGGAGTGTCCCCTCGGGTTACAGACCTCTCCTGGGCACCGGGCTGGGTCTGGTGCTGACACTGGGGGCCAGGGGGCAGTGGGGACAGAAGGATGGGTGCTGGTAGCAGGGCACGGGGGGTGGGTTTGTTAATGGGGTGCAGGGAGGTGGGTGCTGGTAACAGGGTGCAGGGTAATGGGTGGGTTAGTGAGGTGTAGGCAGTGGGTGCTGGTAACAAGGTGCAGGGCAGTGGGTGGGTTAACGGGGTGCAGGGCAGTGGGTGCTGGTAACAAGGTGCAGGGCAGTGGGTGGGTTAGTGAGGTGTAGGCAGTGGGTGCTGGTAACAAGGTGCAGGGCAGTGGGTGCTGGTAACAAGGTGCAGGGCAGTGGGTGGATTAGTGAGGTGTAGGGCAGTGGGTGCTGGTAACAGGGTGCAGGGTAATAGGTGGATTAGTGAGGTGTAGGCAGCGGGTGCTGGTAAAGGGGTGTAGGGTAGTGAGTGGATTAGTGAGGTGTAGGGCAGTGGGTGCTGGTAACGGGATATAGGGTAGTGGGTGGGTTAATGGGGTGCAGGGCAGTGGGTGCTGGTAACAGGGTGCAGGGTAATGGGTGGGTTAGTGAGGCACAGGGCAGTGGGTGCTGGTAACGGGATATAGGGTAGTGGGTGGATTAGTGAGGTGTAGGCAGTGGGTGCTGGTAACGGGGTATAGGGCAGTGGATGGGTTAATGGGGTGCAGGGCAGTGGGTGCTGGTAACAGGGTGCAGGGTAATGGGGGGGTTAGGAGGGTGCAGGGCAGTGGGTGCTGGTAACAGGGTGCAGGGTAATGGGTGGGTTAGTGAGGTGCAGGGCAGTGGGTGCCGGTAGCGGGTGCTGGGGGATTGGTCCCGTGCAATGCTGGATGCCCATCCTGATGCGTCACCATTCCCATCCCATCCCCTAATGACAGGGCAGCGGGCAGGGAGTGCCGTGACTCACTGTGGCCCCGTTGGCCCTGTGCCCATGGCAAGGGGTGTCCCGGGGGTGTAGGGTGTCCCGGGGTGTCCCGTGGCTCCAGCGGTGCAGACAGTGCGTAGGCTCACACTGGTCCCTGCACATCCCAGCGGGCCCCTGCCTGTGGGGCTGGGGCTGTGCTGGGGCTGTGCCAGGACAGACGTGCTGTGGCCTCGTCCCTGTGCTGTACCTTTCCCACTTGGTCAGTGCCCCCAGAACCCAGTGCTGGGGCTCCCTTCCCGCTGTGGTGCCGGGGTCTCAGGGCTGGGTGGGCCCCCCGTGCTCTCTCTGGTGCTGGCAGCTGCTGATGGGCGCTGAGAGGTGCTGGCGGGCGCTGGCACAGCGCTGGCACGCTGGGGCCGATCCCCGTTAGCTGTTTCCTTCCCCCACACCCCGTGACTCACCATGGTTCCCCAGAGCTGTTGGCTCATCGTTTCCTGCACCATCTGTGCCCTGCGGTGCCACCGGCAGGGCCTGGTTCTTGCTGTGCCGTGACCCAGGTGCCGCTGGCTCACCTGCCCCTCTCCTCTCTTGCAGATGAGCGAGATCGTGTCCAGAAGAAAACTTTCACCAAATGGGTCAACAAGCACCTCATCAAGGTACAGGCACTGCCAGTCTGGTGGGCACCACTGCCCCAGCAGCCCCCAGCCCTCAGCCCTGGAAGCATCCCCGGTTGCAGCCCCCCGTGCTGGCATTGCCAAGGACATGGGCAGTGGAGGGTACCCTGTGCCAGTGCGAGTTCYTCTGGGCCTCACTGGTAGTC